CAGTTTGCACCAATCGGTAATTGCATTTATGTCTGCCTGTAGAATGTCGACGTCATCACTCGCTCGTATTTTTCGATAAACAACACAATCGTCTGCAAAGAGACGCATTGGTGATGACACAACACCCACGATATCATTCAAGTACAGCATAAACAACAGCGGCCCAAGGACGGACCCTTGCGGGACTCCTGATGTCACGTCAGCAAATTCGGACTGGCAGCCATTTAGCACAACATATTGTTTACGGAGAGACAAATATTCGCGTATCCAATATACCACTTTCTTATCAATTTTATAACCGTGAAGTTTCGCAATTAACAAGTCATGGGAGACAACATCAAACGCCTTGCTGAAATCAAGAAAAATGCAGTCAACGCTATCACGGCCATCAAGAGCACCTGCCAATTCATGTACAAACTCTGTTAGCTGTGTCACACACGAGTAGCCTTGACGAAAGCCGTGCTGGGAGGAATGTAGTATTCCCGAGGCATTTACATGATGGATTATGCCTGTATATAAAACGTGCTCAATTACCTTACAAGCGATGCTAGTTAGTGAAATCGGACGGTAATTTGTGACCACGTTCCTTGGGCCACCCTTGTGTATCGGGACCACCCGACCAAGCTTCCAATCTGACGGTAATGATGATGTATCTAAAGATTTTTCAAAAAGAACATAAAAATACAGGCAGACTACACCAGAGCATGACCTCAGAATACAAGGAGAAATGTTGTCGGGGCCTGTTGCCTTGCTTACATCAAGTTCATTTAAAAGCTTTCTAATCCCTTCCACTTGGAGTGTGATCGGAGGCATCTCATTAGTCACAAAGGGCGCATCGAAAGAAACATCCCGCTGTGCAGGCGGGTTAAACACGGAATAAAAAAATGAATTCAAAAGCTGGGCCTTATCGGTATCACTTTGTACAACACTGTCATCGTGATTAAGCGGCGGAACGGAGATATCACTTTTGGCATTGCTGCGCACGTATCTCCAGAACTCCTTTGGATTATTCTTCACCCTCTCTTCAAATGCCTGGAAATATTGTTGTTTGGCTGTATGAATGCTGGTTTTTACATGTGCAGTTAGTTCGCTCAGCTTGGCAAGATGGGCTGCAAGTTGAGTGCTACGGTACTTGAGGAACGCCCTTCGCTTCTTTTGAATAAGGCTACGGAGCTGGCGAGATACCCAAGGTTTGTCACGTGCACGCTTCGAAGTAAGCATAGCAGAAGGAACAAAGCAGTTCGTTAATTCAGTTATTTTGTTCTTGAAAACACGCCAGAGATCCTCGATACTCAGTTCCTCAGCCAACGTTTCAAAGGTTGGAAAATACGAATCAAGTGCAGCTGACATGCTATCATAATCTGCTTTGTTGTATAAAAACACCTTCCGCGGTTTTGACCGACCGACATTGGTATTTGCAAGGTTAACATCTGCCACAACTACTTTATGATCACTGATGCCAGTGATGACTTGCGTATTTGAGATAATGTCTGGCGTATTGGATAAAAGTAAATCTAGAATGTGGCCCGTTTTATCGTCTCGCGTTGGCTCAAGAACGTGCTGTTCAAGTGAACACAGGTCCATAAGACTGAAAAACTCGTTATATAATTCTCCTCCTACACCAGTCCTGTGATTATTCGCCTTCCAGTTAATTGCAGGTAGATTAAAGTCACCTCCAATTATAATTTTAGCGCATCTAATAGTAGAAACAATTTCAGACAGTGAACTTAAAACGCTCGGCTGTGTACCTGGTGGCCTGTAAAAGGCACCGATGGCCAGCCGTTCACCATTACCCAAGGAAAGTTCGCACCAAACGTTTTCAATGTTTTCAGTTTCAATCGGCATTTCTTTGGAAACAATACTTTCATGAACAAGAATAAAAACACCCCCTCCGTGGGAATTTCTATCTTTTCTATAACACAAGTAATTGTCAGGGAAAACCTCTCGATCGAGAACGTTTTCGTCCAGCCACGACTCCGTCCCGATTACAACCTGTGACTGAGTCATGTTTACAAGCTGCCGTAGCTCATCTACTTTATTTTTCACACTTCTACAGTTGACAAGGGTTATGTTTATTGGACATTCTTTGCGGTTATTAGGTAGTCAATGCTGAATCACCAGCTTTGCCTCATCATCCCAAGTGAATTTGACCCCGTCTAGGAGCAAGCAGTCATGTTTTAGCACAACTTTGCTATCCGGTCGACGTTGAGCCTTCGCGTATTCCCATAAATGCTTTCTTACAACACGAACAGAGTCGGAGAGGTCTTCTGAGATGCTTAAATTTGTACCTTTTAGTTTGCGAGCATTAAACATGATTCTTTCCTTATCTTTCAGAAAACGAAAACTTGCAAAGATTGCTCGGTTACGATCAGTAGACTGCTTGCCTAGCCGGTATGCCTTTTCGATAAGAATATGATCTACGCCTAAACGAGTGTGGCACAGGTTCGTGACAAGTTCTTCACAAGCAGCGGCGGTTTCTTTCGCATTTGATTCAGGGAATCCATAAAAAATCAGATTACTGCGGCGGCTACGATTTTCGAGAGTTTCTACTCGGGATGACAGAGCTTGTATTTGCGTAAGTTGTGCGTCACATTTTTCTTTATACTCTTGAGGAACAGTCTGTATATTGTCAAGTTTATCAATTTTCGCTTCCACTGATCCTATACGGTTGAAACGTTTCATCATACTTCAACGCTTTATTTGCGTATTTTTAATGATGTATTGAGCGGGATGAACCGCAGATAAAATAAAGCGAGCAAGTGAAAAAATATCGACATCGAACTATACGTGTGAGTCGCCAGGATCACATTTCTTCCAGTTCTTTGTTTTCGACCATCTCTCGGACACTTCCCCGTCCCTCGTCGGAGGTTAAAACCGTCGATAATAATAAAGCCTAAATGCCTACTAAATTCGGATAAAATGGCAGATTAATATACAAACTAATTAACGCTCTTTCTCACACCCTTCTTCTGAAAAACTAACGGGTACCCGCCGCAGTTACACCGAAGCCAGACGGAACGGCAGCGCTGATCCCTTCCTTCTAAAAGAAACGCGCTCAAGGAACGTCGTTTCAAGGAACGTCGTTTCAAGGAATTTCGTTTTAAGGAAAGTCGTTTCAAGGAACGTCGTATCAAGGAACGTCGTTTTAAGGAACGTCGTTTTAGGGCACGTCGTTCCTTGAAACGTCGCTCTGTACAACGTTGCTGCCGAAGTTGCAATTATCAGCTACGCGGTGGGTCTCCACCTGAAACGAATGAATATATTCGTTACAGAGCTCTAACAATCGCAAACCTTTCAGTATATATTAAATAACCTATTAGCATTCAATTCAAAAATATTTACTCTTTTAGCCTTCGTTTCCATTACCTCTCTAATGTCATTCGATGGAAAGGACCTTCAATTTTGCCGTGTGGCAGAGATATTACCTCCACCGCAATTCGTCTGTCCATGTTTCGCTTCGAGTGTCGTGCAAAAATCCCTTTCCTCTGCACCTCACTTTAGTTCATTTTAAATGTCGTGTTCAGATGTCATCAGGAAGGTGTTCGAAACTTTATTCCCGCCTCAAGAGAAGCAGCTGAAGGAACTCACACAATGCAGTAATGGTGTTTGTACCACTCAGCTCGAAGGAAATAATTAATCAAACGAGGTACGGCACGTCTGATATTGCGGAAACTCAAATGTTACGAAAAACGCATTATGGTTCATAGGTATCGTGCGGTGGCAACGCGCCATACTGCTCACAGGAGCCTGATTCATATATCCCTCCGAGTTTCATCTCAGAACAAAAAGGTCACCATAATGGACTTTTGAGTCAAACGCGGACTATCCAGCCACTGAACAAATTATCGAACGTGAACATCAGTCAGCCTTAGCGAGTTATGCATTCCACTCTAGCAACACTGGTCCCTATTCTCATGCTCCGGGCGACAGCGCCGACCTCCGTCCCCGAAAAATGTCCGTACTGGAAAGACATCGTGGATTCTCGTGGCTTCCGGGACCTGCTGCTCGATGCGACCAGCTTCGCGCACCTGGACGTCATATTCCCGCCAGAATTCGGAGTGGAAGAAATCCGTCTGCTTACCCAGCTCCTAAAGGTGCTACCAACTTCACAAACAATCATCAGCAGACATAGCGACCCGTGCCATTTTAACTGCAGCACCATGGATAACCTACGTATTGCGCTGCGTATATTCTGCAGAACGACGAATCCGTTGTACGTTAATTTTTTTATGCATCCGTATTGGGCGACTCTGTGCACTGTAACCAGTAACCTGAGCGAGTTTACTATGAACAAATGGTATTCCGTTGTTGCAGGGAAGGACGATTTTGAAAAGCTTCGGCACGGGGCGGATTTTCACATTGTCGTGCGCGATCAGCAGATACTTCTGGTGGGACAATACAATGTCAGATTTTTAAACAGTACGTCAGATACCCCACGTGACTTCCCCGGTAGACTAGCCATAGACAAGCCTATTCTGGGACGTGAAATTACCATCGCGTGCCTGGAGCCGCTGATTTGCCGAAGTCCATCGTTTCGCACGTTAACTGAAAGTTTGCGACACGACAACTGTTCTGTAAAAATAATTAAAATACAAAGTATGGATTCTCTTTACTATTACTTGGGTCAAAATGTGATGGTTCCAGGAACGCTTATTTATGCTCCCTTTGTTTCTATGCAGGATCTCTACTTTCCAACAGTATCGACGCCTTCTTATTTTGATAGAGCCGGTTTTGCAACGTTTGTCAGAGCGCTGGAGCCCTTGCCAAAGGAAGCTGTAATCTTCTTGCCCTTCAGCATCCTTGTCTGGGTGGCTCTCTTGGCCTGCTTCATTGTTTGTTTGCTGATAAGTTTCTTCCTCTACAGAGTCAGTGGGGTCATTCCAGACTTTCACGCTGTCGCGTCACCTCTAGCAGCGTCCCTGGTACAACAAGCGTATCCCGTGCCTCCGGACGCTGAAAATATTCACTCGCTCAGGTTTCTTCTCGGGGTGTGGTATCTGATGGTAACAGTACTGGCCACAGGGTACAAAGGAGTCATCACATCCCTGTTGTGTAACGTACCCCTGGATGGGGAGCTTACCGAGTACACGTCTTTGAAGATGGCGGAGTCCATGGGCTCGGCTGCTTGCTTCGTGAACTTCCCAGAAGAAATCGTACATCGGGCTTGGCCCCACTCGGACTACGAACAGATGGTCGAAAAAAATTACGATTGCTTGGATTCATCAGGAAAGCTGCTTGCGAAAGCTGGCAAGAGGGCCTGGTTCGTTTTCAAGCCTAGCTCGGACGAGGCTGTAAGCCTCAAAGAAGAGCTCTTTCGATTCGGCTTCGTGCAGACGAACACGCTCCTGTCGCCCGTAATCACGGGACCTCGGTTAAGATCGAATTCGCCGTACTACGGGTCTATAAACAAACTCTTGAGCCATGCTTTTGAAGCCGGTTTGTTTGTAGAAACGGAGCGACTGGCGGAGTTCAAGAGTAGGGTTAGGCGTGAACAAAAGTACGGCCGGTCCTCGAATACCGGAAAGGAAGCACTGGAACTAAGTGACTTCCGACCGTGCATTGTTATTTGGGTGGTCGGAATCGGCCTCAGCTTCCTCGCGTTTGCAGTTAGTCACGTGGTTGCCCACTTCCACCCACCGCGTTCTCGCATAACTCGGCACGCTGTTCACCGGGTCAGGTGATTCCGATGCATTCCAGAGAGGCTGGCAAATGACCAGGCTGCCTACTTACGAGGATACCACTGGAACCGCCGAAGCACAGCAACCCTGTTGTAAAAGACAATCAAGCAATTTTTGCGTCGTCTATCAGCCTAATTGTTTGTCGTTTTTTGGGACATTTTATGGTCTGGTGGTTTATAAGGTCTAATGATTGGTTGAAATTTGTGTCCACAACTAGACCGACAAAATACCAAATATGGTTAGAAAAGCAAAGTCCTATACGTTACTTGGTGTCCAATAATTTTTTCCCTGAGAAGGCTAGCCTTTGGAATTCCTCTAGGAAGAAGTATTGACGTTTTTCCCAGCTGGACATTTTTTTTTTTTATATTTGATTAAACTTTTTATTCATCGGTACTCTGCTGCCACAATAATCGTCATGGTGTACCATATTACAAAGGCCGGGGGGCTACCTCGCCGCAAGTGACATTGTGGTGTATTAGGCAAAGGCTCGGACCGGCGGTGAGAAACACTGTCTTATTGTAAAAAGTTAGAACGTTCCTGCAGAGAACCCACAACCCTGTCTTAGTGCAAAGTGGCAAAAAACCAGTAGTCGGCGAAGATGACTCGGACCAACCGTCAAAACCCAGTTGTTAATAAAATCCAGATCGACAGCACCGCGATGGAGGATTTTCCTGGCCAAGCTGACGATTCCGTGCTTGTTTGGAATCGGCAAATATAACTGCTGGGATTCCAGTATTCTTTGTTCCAGTATGCAAAGTTAGGACCTCCAACAGCATAATCATTTGCGTCTGGGCAACGAAATCAACGTAGTAGCATTTTGTCAGTGGTTTTACGTCACGAGCTTACCACGAAGGTCTCGTCGTCGATGTATCCGATAAGGAAGTAGTGAGCAAACTGCTTTTCCGGTCTGGACACACTGAACCGAAATCAAGTACAAGCGTTTGTACTAGGTCTAGTTGCAGACGGTATGAAAAAGCCTAGGTGAGCGCGTGGCTCCAAGGATCTACAGTACTATCTAACGGAAGAAGGCTGAGTTATCGAGGCTATTGAGTGGAGGAGCGGCACTTCAGCAGCTGCTCGATTTTTGTCGTTACTCCTCATTTCGTCACTCAACGATTACAGATTCAACGCCGATACTAGTAGTGCTCGGGGAAATAAATTAAAACCACTCATCGTTATTTATCCCGCGAACGTGTTATCAAACGCCCGAAACCTGATCGCTCAACCTGCAGACCCGATGGTTGCAACCACGCTTGGTTTTGCCTTATCGCGGTACGCCTCTACGTTCGTCACTGAGGCCAGCATTAACCCAGCGAGAGCTGGTCAAGCTGGGAGTGAAGACAAATATTTAACAGCCGCCGAAGTCTCGATACTGAGCTTTCCTTTGGCCGATTGACCTGCAAGCCTTTTAAGCCACACACTGGCCTGCTTCTTCATCGCGTCCGCAACTGTAGCTTTCTTGACGACCATGACCTTATCAGAAGGGTACCTTCACATGCATTCCTTCACTCTGCTGAGAGAGTACATTGAACAAGGTTTTATATCAGGGCGAAAGCCCTGGAGACGCCTTGGCAAGGAAGCCACACCAGAAAGGAAAAACACGCGAACCTGCATGAGTCAGCCAGGAAGATAACTCCGAAGAAATATTGTATCATAAGAGTGATAGTCAGGTCACTTAAGGAAAGCATGTCTTCAACCTGGTCCGCTGCATGATGACATCAGCGGCACTTCTGGCGTTATAGCAGTGTTCCTGGAGCTTGAAATGGTCTTGTCACACATTAAACGTATATAGTCGACAATAATTTCCTGAAACTGCACGGAGCTTCAAATTAGGCTCGTGAAATTAGAGTTGTATTTTCGAATTTCTTTAGTTTTAATCCTCGCCCCTCTGAAGCTGGATTAGACTGGGCGCTACAGGATTTAAAAATATAAATTAGATTTATTTGATTTAAAATAGGTAGACGTGGTTCTGCTCACTTCAGCTAGAAGAAAGTGACTTTGTGTCACTAGATGTTTTAAAGAAATATAGCTGCCTGATATATATCTTTCGTTTGATCCTCCTTTTCTTTAAATGCAAAATAAATTCTCATGAAAGGCATAAAGTGATAGCCAAAATGTATATGAAATATAATTTCAGGTTTGTTTTGGGGGAAAGTGTTTGATTTAAATCACGATTTAAATTATGTTTTAAGTAACGAATTAAATAGTCACGACTTTTATTCTCCACCTTGCGACGCACGGAAGTAATAGTGTTCAAAATGGAAGTTTGGGCGTGTTTGTAAAGCACGATGATTAAAACGTAATACTTTTATGTGCTTATGTAAAAAAACAAAAAAACTCCCATGTCAAGTTAGGTTTTAACCATGGCTTCAGCTCACATTTCTCATTGTTCTTGCTGTATATTCTCATGTTGTAGACCTCTTGGCATCATTTCTCAATTCAGTACGTGTTCATCGTGTTTTTTTTTTTCTTGCGCTATATTTATCATGAAGCGTCCCTTGGCAGAGGTCTCTAGATCCAAATTCCCTATGCTTTAAGAGTGTTTGCATCTTTTATGCTGCTAGAGTGCTTATGCTATATTACAATACAATATTTTTGTATCCTCTTGTGTTTTAAGAAGAATTTGAACATTTGTCTTTCTTCCAGAAGTGTTAACCTGTTTGTATTCGTATATCGCAACTAAGAAGTGCACCATCCACATGTAGCACAGAAGTTGTTTCCGGCTGCGGTGTCTAGTCATTGGTTGTGTCATGTACGCGTACGCTCAAGATGGTTCACTCCTTTGGGCCGGCAACTTGTATTTATCTCTCACGCAATCTTTCCTTCTGCCCTCCATAAGTCTTTCAAACATTTCCGCCCCACGTATTACATTTTTTCTAATAATTAACACAGTTTTAATCATATTTTGTTTTCTCGCTGAATAAAATGAAAGATTAGCAACTTCTCGCGCTATCCGATTGGTGTGTTTCTTATTAGTTATCGACAACTCTTAAACTTGAGTATTTTCTTGATATAAAATCGAGCTGGGTAGATATTACAAACTTTCTTTTAAAATTTGAACACCTTGTATTTACGGAATTTTTTTTTTTTTGATAGCCTCTTTTTTAAAGTGTAAACGTCCGTTTCTTTACAGTTTATTACCTGCTTGGGCTCACGTGATGGTAATGTAGTTACGTATATGTGCGTTACCATTCGAGTAAGTAATATATTGCAAAATGTTTGAGCAAAAATTAAATCGAAAAATTTAAAACGCTCGCTCTATTGACACTTCACACAAGCCCCAGATTACAGCCGCCATTACTGACCTTCTCTTGTCTTACCGAGATATTGAACCACTAAAACGGGTGTTGAAAAGCCTCATAAAGGTTAATGCTGGGAAGAAGAACACAGTAGAATTTTAAGATGGCAATTACCTGGCCTTCTAAGGTAATAATTGTACAGTTCCGAGAGAAATACAACAAGCAAGACGACGAAGATAGATAGAAAAATAGGAAACAGCAGGGGGAATAAATCTCCAATCCTATAGTGTGAGTGATAAGGAAACTTCACAATAATGAATTGAAGAAACCAGAGTAAGAGGAAACGAAAACTGAGCGTTGGTTGTGGTGGTGCCCATGCACAGTTGATGCTTTTTTAAAACAAATCTGTAAAGCTTTAAAAAAAAGACTCTATATTCGTACTCTGAGACGTGCGTAAATACAAGTGGCTTCAAAATATTTTTTTTATATTTACATTACCACTGTACGCACAGCCATAGCCTCCTCTATACTGACAAAGCCTGGCAGATCGTCACGTGACGCTGCCGCGGAAAGTGAAAAGGTAGAGCGGCAAACAAGTCATGTAACGGGGACCCCGCTGCGGCGAGACGCCGAAACAAACTTGTCCCGGGCGACGGAATGTCCGCTCGTGCTTCTCGCGTTCCTCGGGCTGCCGCTTCGTTTCTTGTCGGGTTTGAAAACCGTGTTTCGGGTCCTCGCCGCTTCAAAATCCGTGCGCTGAATACCGGACTCCCCAAGAAATGCTACCGTGCTACCAGATCCTTGCGCTCCAAATCTGCGACCGGGCACTCCATGGCTCCGTCATCGAACTGCCAGGCTTTGTGAGTAAAGAGGAGGCTATGGCAAAGCTTACAGGATCATAAGTTATAAACTTAAGGCGCAACCCCACCGTGCATGACGATTTGGTGCTTTTTTGACGGCTTATAACTTTCTTTCTATCTATCTTACAATTATAAAGTAAATGTCAAATTAAAGAGCTGTTTTCCAACAATACTTTAATGTCTCTATATTACCATTATTTTCAGATGTTTGTTAATTATTTAGCTTTTAATAGACCACAGTCTCTAATATTGAAAACAATATTTCTCGAGTTATAACGTCCCATCGTCCACAATATTTTACGTGAGTGTTCGGTTGGATGCAATAAATTAAAAACGTAAGCAACAAACTGTACAGATAATGTATATTTTAAAATAAAAAATAAAGTTTAAAATAGTATTATTTTGTGGCGTTATAAAAACGGAATTACGACAACTAATCGAAATAACGAGACATTAAATTATGAAGCACCCTTCGATATTACATTTTCCAGAACTTCCATATCGATGTATTACACGTTAAGAATGTTATAAGACCTCAACCTTTTCCCATTCAGTTACGGCAAATTGTAGTTTCTTAATATAAAATACAGACAGCGACACGTGTTCAAGAACAGCTTGATATGCATTTTCTGTCGTACACCGCCTGCAACGCCACGTGAAAGAGAGAAAAACGTCAGATGTCAGGGTGTCAGATGCCTGGATGCCCGCAGTGAGCGAGCCAGAGATTTCAGAACCACAAGCGCGAGGCTGCGGGTGCACCACAGCTACTTTTGCACGCGTTCTACTGTGCGTCAGTGCACATGCCCGACGCGATCCAAATGAGATGGGTGCCATGAAATGCATTTTGCCATTTCAGATTCCGCCATGTATGCGAAAACATTTTAATGTTTTTATCACTTGCAAA